TTTCCCACGCGAAAAGCACACACGACACCTCAATTGCGAAGTAGAGGATGTCGGCCAGTGATGTGGTTTGGCCTTCTATAATCGAGATATCTCCGATAAAACGGCAGGGGTTCGATTCCCGGTCGCACAGTCCGCACGTGTTGACGTTATATAAATTACATTTTTAAAGTAGTAAATAATGTTGTACTTACGTAATTTTTGGCCACCATCTGCATGGAGGGTCTGTCTTCCCACCTGCGTCATCTGACGGAATGTTGCCTTTGTTCACCAATTTGAAAATTGTTGATGGATCTTGAACTTGAATGCTGGGATATTTATGGCGAAACCTTCTATGCAGTTTGTATGATTTATTTTTGACATGTATTATACAGAAAACCCCATTGTTTAAGTTTATATTTCACCATATCAATTCAGTACTGTAAATGAGAATGCCAAATGAACTTTTGAATGATCTTGTGAGAATAGAAACATAAAGAATGCTGATATGCATTAATGAGTCATTTTCACATATAGTGATAGCCATGCAAGGTAAACAATAACAGCCATTGCACAGCACAGATGATCTCTTTGTCATGTAAAGTTCTTTAGTTACTAAATAGATCATTTCCTTATGTCATGCAAACCTGATTCAGTAGGTTGAGAACTGTGTTGCATGACTATTTCATCACTGTGAAATATGCCTGCTTTGTAAGTAAGAAGTCAGAGGACAGTAATTTACGCAGATGTTACCATGAAAGATAAACTGGCTCAGCTATTTTAGGTTCACATAGTGTTAGTCACATATGGTATTCTGTTAGTATACTTTTTATTTTGTTTGACTTTTGAAATTGTTGAAGTAATTTAACATTAAACTGGAGCATGATTTTTTTAAATGTCAGACTGAGCTTGATACAGGACTCCTGTTTTATTTTCAGCATTGACACACTACTAGACCCAGTTGCAATTGAAATTATTGGACTTGGTCTTAGATTGGTTCCTTAATCAATGTTACACTGAATGCAGAAGATATGAAATGACTAAAAATAACTCATCACTTTGCGCTATAAGGTTTATAAGCCATAGTAGTTAGCTACACAGACATAAACCATAGTTGCTATTGATATTGATATTGTAAGTGTTCAATAAATCTGATTACCAATGCAAATCCCTTCTAGAGTCACTCTTACACGTGTCAAGATCATCTCAATATTCATATGCAAAAAAGCTAAAGGTAAAGTCATCCCTGGGCTTAATTAATTAAGCACCATGCCATGAAGACACGGGAGGGTGGACATACAGCTCTACCTTGGCACTAGGTGGTTTTACACCCCTGCCACCTTACCCCCAAGGGAACAGTACCCAGTACAGATTTGGTAGTTGTGGAGAAGCGAAAAATCCCTTATTCCTTCCAGGAACCGAATCCTCCTCAGTGATCCAGCCCATAGCCTAGTCACTATACTTGACTGAGCTATCCTGGCTCACATATTCATGTACAAATAG